TCCCAAATATTCAAAAATAAAATCAACCATTGAAAAAGTTAAAATTAATTTTTCTTTTGTTAAGGCTTTTCTTCCCCCATCAACAAAGCCGCTTTAAAAAGATAGGGAAATGATTCCAAAGGCTTTTCACAGGAGTAAATAGGAAAGGGAGAGGCAAGGAAATGTCTCACCGAATCTTCCACGGTGGTTCTATTTCGCTTAGATGTTCTTGTGGCTTACGGCTGGTGCAGCTAAGTGATCGGCCATTTTACTGACCGATCTTTACTCCGTCGGCCCAAAGGAGCTCGCTTGGACTGCAGAGGGTGCCGCCGCCCCTCTGCAGTCAAACAGGCAGCCTCCTCAATGGTGGTCGCCCCTCCAGGGCGACTTTCGACCCAATCAAGGGTCTACCGGCGGGGGAAACTCGACCGGCGAAGAGACGAGTCTGTCCACACGACTGCAGCGCTGCGACCCAGAACCGGAAGCCGACTCATCAAAAGATTCTATAAGAAACACCCTAACAAACCGAGAGACAGTCCCTAACATATGCTTTTGTTTACGCTACAGGGTCTGTCCTTTTTGTAAGGGGGGCCGGATGTCAACGCTGCTAACATTGGATGTTCTTGCTTTGACAACATATGGAGATGCAGCCTTTTTCTTTCTTATGCTTTACTCTTAGAATTAGATGATACTGGGTAAGGGGGAGGAATGTGATGGGAGTTAGTTAGACATACAATATTATAATAAGAGATGATAAGGCATGGCGGGATGAAGAACTGGGCAGAAAGCCAGCATTTCAAACTAATTGGAGAATGTGATTTATGACGGTTAGTTGTAGGAGGGAATTGTGCTTTGATCTATGTGCTGAGGGGAGGGGAAGTCAGATTTTGGCTTCAACCATGTACGTGCCGATGCCATATTATTTGAATAAAGATTCTTTAAGGTAAACAATGCCTCAAAGTTCTTTGAAGAGTAACATCTGTCGGAACCATGACAGATGATTGGAATGATCCTATAACTACTTTTGAAATATCAGATGCCATTAAAAAGATGAAAATAGGCAAGGCCCCAGGCCCAGATGGACTTCCAAGTCAATGTTATAAATGCTTTGAAGATCAACTGCTACAACCATTGAAACGGGTAATGAATTCTACATTACAGGGTTCTAAAATGCCTCAATTGTGGAGGGAAGCTAATATTGCCCAGATTCCAAAGGAAGGTCAAGATGCTACATTGATAAAGGACTACAGACCAATTTCCTTATTAAATAATGATTACAGCAATATTGGGGGACAGATTGAAGAAGATTTTGCAGAACTTTATACATGAGGACCAATCAGTGTTCCAATATCTCAGGGGTTGCCATAAAGAAGAGGGAGTCAAGCTATTCTCCAAAGCGCCTGAAGGCAGGACAAGAAGCAACGGGTGGAAACTAATCAAGGAGAGAAGCAATCTAGAACTAAGGAGAAACTTCCTGACAGTGAGAACAATTAACCAGTGGAACAACCTGCCTCCAGAAGCGGTAAATGCTCCAACACTGGAAGTTTTTAAGAAGAGACTGGACAGCCATTTGTCCAAAATGGTATAGGGTTTCCTGCCTGAGCAGGGGGTTGGACTAGATGACCTTCAAGGTCCCTTCCAACTTTACTATTATTATTATTATTATTATTATTATAATCTGGTTTCTTACCAAAAAGGCAACTGAGGGATAATGTTAGAACGGTCCTAAAATGTTACTGAATATTTGCAATATCATAATGAGACCCAGGCAGCCTTAATATTTTTAGATGCATCTTAAAAGCTTTTGAAAATTTAAATTGGGTTTTCCTTATCAGACTTTTGGAGGAAATGGATTTTGGAGAGCAATTTATTCAAGGTATTAAGCTTGATTTACACATCCCAACATGAGCGTATTATTGTTAATTGTGAATTGACTAAAAAATGTGAGACTCAAAAAGGTACAAGAGAAGGTTGGCCCCTGTCCCCACTGCTCTTTATTTTAGTCCTATAGGTTTTGAATAGAGACATCAGATGTCATGACAAAATAACTGGTGTGAAAATGAAGAAAGAGACTTATATTTAGTTGTACTTTTGTAAGATCCCTCAAATAGTTTGGAACATTTGATGAAGTAGAATGATTTTGGAGCTTTGGCTGCTTTCAAAATAAACAAACAGGAAACAAAGATGTTAGTCAAGACTATTGCTGCATATGAACATGAAAATTTAACAAAAAATCAAGTATTAATTTGAATTTGAATTTGAATTTGAATTGAATTTATTATATTTATACCCCGCCCTTCTCCCGGAGGACTCAGGGCGGCTTACAGCCAGTTTAAAAACAGTTTGATACAAATACAAAATATAAAATTAAGAGAATAATTAAAAATAAATATTTAAATAGGCCGCTTCTACTAAAATTTAGTTAAAACCAATTTAAAATACCCCTAGGCCAGTCCTGCCCGCTGAAACAACCAAGTCTTGAGGGCGCGGCGGAAGGAGGGGAGATCCGGAATCACCCGGATCTCTGGGGGCAGCTTGTTCCAGAGGGTGGGTGCTCCGACAGAGAAGGCTCTCCCCCTGGGGGTCGCCAGCCGGCACTGTCTGGTTGACGGCACCCTGAGGAGGGCCTCTCTGTGGGAGCGTATCGGCCGGTGGGAGGTAATCTGTGGCAGAAGGCGGTCTCGGAGGTGGAAAAGGTGGAAAAGAAGGTTAAACATCTTGGAGTGATATTGTCAAACACAAACTCTAAATTGTTTCAAAATAATTACTGTATGTACCCGTCTGGAATGATATTAAGAAAGACTTACAAAGGTGGGGTAAATTGCAACTATCTCTATTGGGCAGGATCTCTGTGATCAAGATGAATGTCCTACCGAAGATGTTACTTTTATTTCAGACCTTGCCAATATTGATCACTGAGACTCCATTCAAGAACTGGCAAATGGATATTTTTAGATTTATTTGGCAAGGAAAAAAACAAAGAGTCAAGTATAAATTGTTGCAGGATGCCAAAGAAAGAGGTGGTTTGGGTCTTCCAGTTTTAAAATTGTATTTTGAAGCATGTTGTCTAGTTTGTATGAAGAAATGGGTGACCTTAAAAATAAGAGGTTATTGGATTTGGAAGGTGTGAGAGGGCAGGCTGCCTGAGATGAGCTAGCACCTGGGCCGATGGTGCCCTGCCCCTTTAAGACTTCTCCCCAGCCAGACCAGCTGTGTAACAGAATAACAGAATTGGAAGGGACCTTGGGAGTCTTCTCGTCCAACCTCCTGCTCAAGAAGGAGACCCTGTACCCCTTCAGACAAATGGCTGTCCAAACTCTTCTTAAAAACCTCCAGTGATGCTTAGCAAAGAGCAGCTATAAAAGCCCTGCAGCAAAGCAGCTGAGTGTGATAGCTAGTACTGAAGGGTTCTGGGAGTGAGAAGGTTTGTGTGTTTCGCTATAAGGTATAGGAAACTGGAAGCAACCTGAAGTTAAGGAGAACTGTAGTTTACTCCTGATAGCAAGGAGCAGCAGTAGACCTGGGGAGGGTGTGGAAACAAACTGGGACTACTACCCAAGGGTCTGCTGTTGTGTGGGTTGCCTAAAGGCCAGGGAGGCTGGAGTGGGCCCTCTGGGGTGTGGAAGCCGACTGAACTGGATATAAACAAAAGGACCCTGTGACAATCAATTTTTTTGTTTTCTTGGCTGTCCATGATATACACAACATTCAATTCAAAAGTGTCAACACATTTCCCATGTTGCTTCTTCAAAGTCCAACTTTTGCTTCCATAGAGTGTCACAGGGAATACCATGGCTTGCATGATTCTGATCTACAGATGTATGTATCCAATACTGTGTTGATATGAATTAAATATATCAGGTCTTCCTTTGCTGATTAGATTTATATCAAAACGTATTACAGACGTTCATGTTTAATAACAAAAATTATTACCAAGCCTAAAAGGATCTTACATTTTTGGCCAATCATTTCATTTCACCTACTTTCTGCTGGGAGTTCAATGGCCTGGTATTCAAATACATTTTTCACTACCCCTCTCCCCCCCCCTTGATTTTAAGTATGATAAGAAAATAAATAAGCAAAACACTTGCCCTCACAGCTAAATTTGCAGATGTGGCAAACATCGAGAGACTACATAGATGCTTTCCCCAAGAAGATTCAGTACATACTGTAATTGATGACCAGCCCCAGCGGGGAGTCAACACTCTTATAAAGTCAATACATGTTCCTGCACGAAAAATGAAAAAAAATAACCTACAGTACTTTGAAAATTAGTGGGATAGCAATGATGGAAGACATATATGGTACTGTTTTTCATGCAGGAACATGAGCTTTCAAAATGTACATGGGCTATTTGTTTTCATGCTAAGTATCAACAGGATTATGAGTACTACCTTTATAAGAGTGTTGACATCCCCTGGAATGGACTGACCTTGCTGGGTAAATCCTGGCTCTATGAAATCCCAAAGTATTACAGGTAATTGGAAGAAAATCTGAGGTCTTCCATGTATTTGTTGAATCACAAATCCCAGCACCTCTCACCGCTGTGCAAACTGGCTACATCTGCTGGGACTTGTAGTACAGCAACATGTACAGTACTTAGAGTAGCTTTTATTTTCATAGTTCCACTGCAGTTATTCTCTTTTGTGCTGGAGATACAGACTGTGAAAGGTATGCTTTACTATCTTTCTGTTTCTTAAAATACTCTTCCCCATGGATCATTTTCAAAACAGGTAAGGGTATTAGGTGCAGCAAAATTAGATATTATTGCAGGAATTTAAAGATTAGCGAATTTATTAGGACTTAAAGAACAGAATAAAACCTACCACATGCCTGGTAATGTGGAGTGACCTATTTTGTATTTATTTTTTTATGGTGCCACAAAGCTTAGACATTCTTCTAAGACTGTATCCTTCCTCTGCTGTAAAATCATTTCCCTGAAAGCAGCTATTTTTTCAGCCTGACTTTGGAAGCTGCCTTACCAGCTGCTGGCAAAAAAGTTTCACTCTGAGATTTCTTACCTCACACTTGCTTAGCAATCCTGTCTCCTGTAGTCTGGACCAAATACTCTGGATCCTCCCAGCATGTTCTGGGTGAATATTAGTGTTTCCACATGTACACTGGTGCTTCAGCATGAATGTGTCATAAACAATGCCTGTGAGAAGGTGGGAAAAGAGCACAGAGGAAGGAGGAAAAAATAAAAAGTAATTGAAATCCTGCCAAGAAATTTAAGGACAGGTGGCACATTTGGAATTCTGATGGCATGCTAAAGATGCTACTGTATCACAAAATTACTACCATCTTGGGTGTGGTCAGTTATAAAGCAACAATTTATTATAAGGCAAACTCATAAGATTACTTTGTATCAGTTAGCCAGCATGGCTTCTACTATCCTAACCTTTCTCTCTTTTTTTTCTCAGCAACTGATCACTCTCTCCAAACAAAGCAGGAGCTTGTAGCTACATTATTTTTATTTGTTAAGAATGCTTGTGGGGTTGATGAGGTTCTCAGACACATTCTGTACATTAGGATACATAATCTGTCCCTGCGTCCCCACCCTGGCCATACCTTCTTCGAAGACTGCAGCCAAATGTGACAAAAAATATATATAACATATAAGAAGAGATATATAATGCAAATTTAAATTATATTTTTTCACTAACCCTGCCTATTGAAAGGCATACAGCCCCCAACAAACCACTTTTTTCCCTATCCCTTTGAGTCAGTGTTGACTTCTGGCAAATAGATGGATTAGCCCCTGTAGTTTTCTTGGCAAGATTTCAGAAGTGGTTTGCCATTGCCTTCTTCCTAGGGATGAGAGAGAGTGGATGGCCCAAGATAACCCAGCTGGCTTTGTGCCTAAGGCAGGACTAGAACTCATGGTCTCCCAGTTTCTAGACTACCCCAAACTACCTCTCCCAACTAGCCATAAAGGTTCCTAAAGTAAATGATGCATTCATAAAAAGTATCTAAAATCAAGTATCTAAAAAGCTTTTGCATCAGCTAACCTGCTAACCAGGGCAAAGTGAAGGAATCACATGACCTGCAGTGGTTGCCAGCTGTTCACTGGCTTTTACTGAAGTAACTGTTTTTAAAGCCTTTTAAAAAACTCTAAAAGGCTCAAGGTCTGATTATCTGAGGGACTGCCCCTCCTGTTACGCACCTCTCCAGCCCTTAAGATCTGTAGAAATTTCCCTTATCAGAAGTTGAGAGAACATTTTCTTGCATTGTTCCTAGCCTTGGAATGTACCCCCCCCTATGAGTTACATTTGGCTCATATTCTGGCAACATTAAGAAAATTTGTAGAGAGGTATTTCTTTCTATAGGCTTTTGATACTGATTTTTATATTAATTCTATTTAAGTTTTAAAATTCTGTGATTGTCAGAAACTTTAATTCTCATCAAGTAGAAAGGATGAAAATAAATCAATAATAAAACAAATCCTATTAAATCTACCAAACTGGAATTCCTCTCTCAATGCACCAAGCTGATTGAGATTCAGGATATAATTCCTGTTGTGCCCTAAAGTAAGGAAAAAAGCATAAACAATATTTAGCTCCTGAACACTAGGGAGTGGAGGTCATAATAAAGGAGGACATATGCAGAATGTCTTTCCCTTGCATATTTGTGAAAGAACTTTTCTGGGCAGGAGATGTTGCTTCTGAGCAGCATCTACATGCCCAGCTGGACAAAGATTTCCCTGTCCTCCAAGATCCAGGAAAGAAGTCCTTCACCTACCTGTAGTGAAAAGGTGATGGACCAAAGGCTCAGTTCTACTGCTCTTCAGACTAAGACCAGTGCTAGGAGGTGAAGACTGGGTACGACTAAGTGCTTGATAGGGTACAGTGCTGAAGCTGAGGGGTGTCTGATAGACTGGCCGAGATCTTAGCTGATGTGTATCTGCAAATACCTGTACATTTCACAGGAATAGTAGCCAGGGAGAAAGGGAGAGAAAAGAAAAACAGATCAAAAGAACCATTACTTCAATATTTCACCAGCTTTAAAAAAAACCTGCCTTATTTAGCCTAACATATAGCATTTATGAGGCAGCTAGTGCTCACTGAAAGTTGCTGTTTTATTTTTCCATGGATTTACAATTCGTCCCAGTACATATAGAACTAGGAGAGTACAAAACATGCCATTCTGAAACATTTTAAGAGTGAAATTTCATGAAATGTTCTGAAGCATTTTGGAAATGATTCAAGCCTAGAAGTAAGCTCTTCTCAAGTTGAACCACTGTGTGAAGCTCAGAAAGCTTCCAAAATGCCAAAATAGCTCATTTTGTATTTGAAACAGTAATTTTCATGAAATTTTATAGCTCAGCTGTTTCAAAACATGTTTTGCATAGACCAACAGAGAACTCTATACATTTTGTAAAAAAAATAGATTTCAGAATCATGAAAGAACTGAAATTTTACTTTAGACAGATATATGGCTGGTATCAATTCCACCTTGCAGAAGGTTCTATGGATGTACCCTAATCTTATGCAGTTGGCCATTTAATTTCAAAAGCTCATTGAAAAAATAGTTTAAAAGGCGAAAGATTTATACGATCTGAAGAGAAACCAGTGGTGGCATCAGGGCGGTGCGGAGTTAAGGAGACAGGCTCTGTCACCTAACTCCGATCTTTCCACGTTTGGAGACCCTTTGGGGGCGCGGGGAAGTCTGGAGGACAACGCGTGAGAAAGGGGGATGCCGGAGGAATAACGAGGCGAAAGGCGATCGCCCGTTAGGACGAAGGAAACCTCCTAATTTCAATGTGGAAACNAATGCAAGAGACTATATCGAAAAATCATGTGGAAATGAGAGGCGATATAAATAAATTGGACAACAGAGTTGAAATGATACAACAAACGATGGAAAAAAATGAAGCAAGAATTCAATTAGTAGAAATGGGGTTAGACAATGTTGTGAAAAAAGTTGATACATTAGACACAGAAATGATAGCCTCCCAAAAAAAAATATGGAGGAAGCAATTATTTATTTGGAAATGGATAAGGCGGCATTTTATCTACACTTCCAAAATGTGATAGAGGAGAAGGAAGAAAATCTGGGGGATATTATGGCAGATTTGATTTCTGGTGTGTTGCAAAGGGACAGGCAAGAAATTCTAACGGAGTTCGATGAAATATATAGAATTCAGACAAATTATGCTAGACGTAATAGACTCCCACGGGAGGTACACATTAGGTTTGCCAGGAAAAGGGTGAGAGATATAATTTATAAAATTACAAGGGAAGAACCAATGATCTATAAAGGTGTAGAAATACAAACTTTAAAACAGATACCGAAAAAGATAAGAGATCAAAGAAGGGATTATAGATTCCTCAGTGCCTATTTAATAAAAAAAATATACCCTTTAGATGGTTAATTCCGGAAGGAATGCTGATAACATGGAGAGAGAGAAAGATTAAAATAGATAATTTAGAGAAAGCCCAGGAATTTTTTGATCAGTTGGAAGGAACTGAGGAAGAGAACAGTAGTAAGGAAGAATTGGAACTCAAAAGCCAGGAGGAACTTAAGGAAAGAGAGCAAGGAACAGAAAGTAAGGGAGAAAATGGACAGAAGAAGGAGAAAGGACCAGGACTTACAACAAGACAAGCTCACAAGTAAAACACACAAGTAGAAAATAGAAAAGGAAATTAGGCTATTATCTATTAATATTAATGGATTAAACGCACCAGTAAAGAGAAAACAAATATTAACAAAACTAGTCAAACAACACATAGATATTGTCTGCTTACAAGAAGTACATGTCAAACAGCAACATAGGAAATATTTAGAATTTCC